TTTTCCAAATCCATTTCCCATGCTACTACTGACAACCTGGACATATCGCAGAAGCTACCTCCCCTGTCCTTTGGCCCTCACTCCCTCGTAAGACACTACTGACCACACGCTGTGTGCCTACACCGTGCCTCTTGTTACAGGTGGAGACAATAGTGATGACCACGAGAAGACAGAGGGATGAGAAAGACAGAGATAGTTTCTTTTCCTTTGGAAACTCAGGCTAACAAGAGTCCCAAGCATGAAAACAAACAATTACTGCATGCCAAGTGCTGGGTTTTGTTTGTTTTGTAAAGTATGAATCAAAAGTGAGGGCGGAAGCTGTCTGAGAGTGATGGAGGTACTACAACCAAGATGAGGCTTTTAGTAGGATCTCATCAGAGAGGAAGACATGAGGGAACAGAAGAGAAGGGTACCTTTAGAAGTGTGTGGGGGAGAAACATCAGGATCCATGGCAGAGGGGAGAGTAGTGGGAAGGAGGCAAGGGAGGTAACTGTGTAGCTAGCACGCATGAGCCCCTGGGTTCAATCTCCAGCACAACACAACACTGATTACTCAACTGTGATGCTGGCATTTGGGAAGTGGAGACAGGAGGATAAGGAGACAGATAGCCTCTGCTACATAGTGAATTCCAGCCTGATCTACAGGAGACCCCCTAAGTAAGTAAGTAGTCCTTATATTAGACGAGGTTGTAAACCTTACCTATGAGCCACTGGGTGCCATTAGTGCTCTCTGGGCAGAATTGTCACATACTCACTTACGGGGGAGGGCTTGTGGAGTGAGTGCTAAGTGAAAGAGGCCACACATTGCATGGTCTCACTTAAGAGATGTGTTTAAATGGGCACATGGGCAGGGGTGGAGAAGGGGTAACAGGTCTAGGGTAGCACAGATGTTCTGAATGCTAAGGTGGTGATGATTTCTCAACTCAGCAAATATAATAAAAGTCATTGGGTTGCATACTTTAGACGGGTGAATTTTATGGTATGTCAATTACATTGTAATTTAAAGAGTACACAGAGAAGGTTGGGTGGTGGGGAGCGCTATTCAAAGGTCAGCCATGAAGGGTCTCTGTGAAGGTCTGAGACACCTTCTTCCCTCCCAAGCCCAGAGCTGATTCTGCTTGGGTAGGGTACTGGAAAGGCCCTAGGACCCCACGCCAGGCACACCACCAGCCCCCTGCTAGTGAAAATGTCTCATGCACGTCCTGCACATGATGTCTGGGACCAGCATAACAAACAGGTCACCTGACAAGCTCCACCACTTATTTTTGAAGACAGGCAGGTCCCCTGACAATAGAGCAAGCACGGAAAGGCTTTGCTATAGATGAGGAAATTAGGGCAGAAAATAACATCACGAAAGCAGATCTGGCTGTTGGATATGGGAGGGACCCCACACCCCTTCACATCCCAGTGTGTGGGGCCTGTCGGAGCTCCTGGGAGACTAAGGGTCACCTGACTTCAGACTGCAACACTGTCTCCTTAGAGGCAGAGTTATCCCAGCCACTGTACCTTCAAGGGCCTAAGGTGCTCCCTGAAGCAGGTGGGGAGGGGTTCAGAGGAAGTCAGGACCCCTTCAAATGATGGCCCTTGCTGTAGGACACTGAGTCACAGGCTCCATACTCTGAAGACATCTACTTCCCAGTGGTGGACGTAGAAGGCCCTGCTCCTTAGGTGGTTCATTTGTGGGAGCTGGGGTTCCCCTCACACTGCAGAGTGGGGAGATGAGAAGTCACCACGGGGAAACTCTGAAGTGGGGTGGGGCAGGGAGACAGAAAAGGTACCTGGAAGGTGGCAGAAGTTGCAGGCTCTCATTCTGCTCGGGAGAAGGACAAGGGCAGTCCTGCACACCCCAGTGTGCACGCATGGAAAGTACTTATGAATGGAAGTGAAGGGAGGTGGAGCAGTGTGTGGGGGAGGCCACAAGAAGCCCGGGAACAGGCTGGGGAGATGACAGACAGATCCAGGGAACTCCAGCTCCAGGACAGCGGTGCTTCTTATGTCACGAGTTCGCAGGTGAAGGCATGGCAAAGACGAGGGGACGAGACAGAGCAGGTTGAGGGGAGGACTTAGCTATTTTTTCCCAGCATCCCCCAGGCCACTTCTCTCACCACAAACCTCAGTCTCAAGCCACTTGGTTGTCATGGAAACAGGATGGAATAGAACAGATGGTCTCTACTAGCCAAATTCCAATTAAACAGGGCAGAGATAGATAGGAAAGGGGGTGTGATCTGATGGGGCCACGGAGGGCTCTGCCCCACAACCCACCTCACACATATCCAGGGCTCCCCTAGGATGGATGGGAGACTTGGGCAGAGAGTCTCACTGCCAGGCACCCCTACCCTCACGCCTTCAGTTCTTAAAGATGCAGGGCAGGGAGGTCGAGGAAATGTCAGCTGTGGGGAACGCACTGGGGGATGCACCTTTAAATTCAGCGCATCAAAATGAAGGCACACATGCATACGTGCACACACATATATACAAGCACGCCTGTGCACCGAAAACACATCTACACGAACAGAAGCACGCAGGAGCAGTGCAGAAAGGTTAAGCAAAGTCATTACGGAGACACCTTTTAACATGGTACAAAGAAAATGCTTCGGAAACAAAATAAGCAATTTATTCCCATTTATTTAATTAACATCTTGGAAGACTCTCATCAAAAGCCTTCTAATAGGGATATAAACATACACCTGTGATCGGATACAGTCCCTGGCCTCAAAGACACAGGACAAATGGACTAATAACATGAGCGCTGCTTCGTTCCGACTGTGCACGAAGTGCGGTGGCCGCAGAGGAAATGATAGATCTGCAGAAGGTGACTGGAGATGAGAGGACCTACGCAGAGGATGCACGGGGCTTTGAAGGGTGAGTAGGAGCATGCCAGGCAGTGAGGCCCGGCTCTCCAAACAGAGAAGGTGGCCAGAACAAAGCTGGAAAAAGAATGCAGCTTGCAGGGGAAGGTATTCGTTTGAGTGGAATTGATGTGTAGAGCAATTAGTGGGAGGAAAGACCCCTAAACAAGGCCTGGTACAAATGGTACCACTTCTGATGCAAACACACCAATATCCGACACACAGAAACATGCCACCACTCGGTTCCCGCTTGCAAAGCCACCCAGCCACACACAGCTTGGCACACACAACTACAGTGCTCCAGTACTTAGCAAATGGGAAAAAAAAAAAAGAGAGAGACGATTTTGTTTGCTCCGAAAAAAGCGAGGTGGGTTTAGAGGTGTCAGGAAAAACGGAGCATCCGAAGTTCTCTCTTGGCTACAGGGTGAGAAAGGGTGCCAAGAGCGGCACAGAGATGGGGTGCTCCAGAGCCAGCTGGCTCCCATCATGTTAGCATACATTCATGAGGCACCTGCTGCTTATGAGGCTCTGAGCTGGGCTGTGTGAAGGCCTTCCTTAAGGAGCAAAGGGCCTAGAGGAAGGGAGAGGAGACAGTCATACTGAACAAACTGGGTGTCTCACAGGCAGATGTGCTAGGGCTCGGGGCTCAGCCATCAGCAGGAAGTAAGGCCCAGGAACAGGAGTTGGAGTGATTCACTCTATGCCCAGGTACAGGATGGGAAGTAGCTTTGGAAAAACAGGTCTGGTTGCAGCAGAAGGCTAGACCAGCGATGCTCAATGTGTTGTTGCCTGGGGGAACCGCAGCAATGTTTTTGGTGGCTTGTTCTGCTTTGGTTTTGTTTGTCTGTCTGAGACAAGGTAGACTAGGCTGACCTCAAACCCACAGTGATCTGCTTGCCTCTGCCCCGACTTCCCTAAATTCTGGGATTTCAGGCTTGTAATCCTGTCTTGAAGACATCTATTGTCATAGTACCCAGGATAAAGGGGTAGATGCTACTGGCCTCTAGAGAGTAGAGGCCAGGGAAATTGCTAAACATGCTTCTCTGTGCATGGTGGCCCATGCCAAAGGATGTCTGGCTTCCAAGTGAGCAGTGCTAAGGCTGAAAGGCATGGCCTAGATCATGGGGCACGAACTGAGGTTGTCAGCAATGAAGAGCCCATGAGGGCTTCCCAGTGGGACGGTGGTATTGCTCGAACTTCTCTTCATTCTGCTAGTGATGAGTGGCTGCTCAGGAATGGGGAAAGGCATTGGGGAAGAATAACAGTACTGAGCTCAGAGGTGTCCCAAGGACAGTGCCAGGCCTTGCAGCAGCAAAGGGAAAAGAGTGAAGGGCAGCGAACAGACCTGGGGGTTGCAATGGCACAAATGGGAAGAGTCCAGGGTAGGTGGTAGCTTGGGCAGAGGGAGACAGGTGAGTAAAGATCTTGGGGTGCAGGACTACACACAGGTCAGGCGGAACTAAGAGGTGGAGGGTTTCTCGTTAGCCCTCCCCCTTCCCCAGGGCCTCTCAAGGCTCCATGCCCACCTCCACACACAGGTCTTCCTCTTGGGGCTGTCCCTGTCTGTCTCCTAAGGCTTCAGGGCTCAATGTCAAGCTCACTGTCCTGGAGCAGCCTCTAGACCCACCCTCGTGAAGGCCATGTCTCCATCCCAGTCTCTGCAGACTTTATCCACTCAAGCAGTTCTGACGGTCCACACAACTCACAGGTGCCAGGAACCCCACCTGTCTTGAGGATAGACTCCCCCCCCACTTTGAGTATGCAAAGAATGAGGGTGAGTAGGAGAGTCCACCCTGGCACCCTGGCTTCATTCAACTCTGGCCTTTCTCTGGCTTCCCTTTCTGTCACTCTGTCCCCTGATGGCCAGTTTGTAAACCAGCTAGGGAAACTGTTCTAACGGCCACCAGGCCAGGATTAGACCCAAGATCATAAATCAGAGGAGGGAAACCTGGCCAACCTCCAACCAGCAAGTGCTCCTCTGTAGTCAATGAAGAAATGCTAGAACCCTAGAACATGTGACTCCCCCCTCTTTTTACCTTACATTGCAGGACCCGGTGCAACTGGTCTTAGGTGCCCCCAATATGGACCAGTTGAATAAACTCTCAAATCATGTTTTTAGTTGCTTAAAGCATTTCTTTTTGACACACAGTACCTGGCACAAAGGAGCTGTCCAAGGAGAATCCGTTGGCTCATTCCTCCTTACAGGCACCATAGGGCTGCAGAAAAGGCCCACATATAATGGCAGCCTTGCTCTCTAGGGTACCTGGAGACCCTCTGTGGGTGGCCTGCCCTCCCAGCAGGAAGAATCTAGGGACATCCACAGCCTGTGGGGGAGGGCAGGGAAGGCTGGTCACTAATCTCTCTTGGAGATTACACAGCAGGCTGATTCTGGGTGCCAGAGACCAACTGGGGGATGGGGGCATGATGGGAGGCTCTTGCCTGGGATGGGGGTGGGGGAGGCGGCAGGAGCAAGCAGATGGGGCTTCTTTTCTGGGACCTGGACATAGCCAGAAAGATCTCTAGGATTAAGGACTGAAATTTGGGGACAAAACTGCCAATGATTTATTAACCAGAGTTGCCAAAGATTAACCCAAACGCCTAGACCTTTAGGCTCAGGCTTCCTCTGTCATCTAAGCTGAACAACCCCCACCCCCAACCCCCACCCCCGTGCAATTAGGCCACTTGGGGCCTGGATCTTATCTTCCGGGGCCCTGATGGCTGCTACTATCCAATGATTCCTACACCCAGGATTGACAGTTGTTTGGGACAGGTCCCCAGCTTGTCTGAGTGAACAGAAGGGTCCTCAGCCCTGTCCAAGTCTTCATTTCAGCCTCTCCAATGGCTGGTTTCGCTGACTGCTGTTAGCGTCTTACATCCCCAGACTCAGGCTTGGACCAGGCCGGGGGTCTGAAGGAGAGGAGGGAAACACTATCAGACACCGTCTCTGCTAGAGGGGGACTAGTGACAGGCGTGGCGGCAAGCATCAGTGAGTAGCCAGGGGTGTGGGCTCTACACAGCTCAGTCTCAGGGAAGCAGGAGCTGGGTAAGGTGGAGGCAGCTTGAGCTGGATGACCCCTCACCTCTCACCTGGCATGCTCAAAAAACCTTCTGAGTGGCCCTGAAAGTAGAGGAAAGCTGATTGTCCCCCTCAGCCTTCACTTTGGGGAACTGGGAGCCCAGTGGCTGTGTGGGTCTCAGCATAACTCTGGCCATCATCTGGTAAGGACTCCTGAGACAGGCCCACCTGGAGTCATTTCAGTGCCAGGACAGTTCTGACAGACTACCTCTGCCCTTGAACTTCCCCCTGCAGAATTTGCTTCAGTATCTTAGAGCCAAAAAGTGAGCGCCCCACCCTGCCACATGCTGGATCTGGCCCTTCCTGTGTTGTGACATGCCCCAGAGCTGCTGCCTGTACTGGGTCATGAAACACCAGAAAACAGGAGAGGCTACTGGGAGATCACTCCACCTGCGACACCCCCTTCCAGTCAGAAATTTGGTCCCCAGGAGGGCACAGGAACCTTGGAGCCCACAAACAGCACGCCCCACCCTTGCCCCGCAACCTCCCAGGTAACAGACATAGGCAGAAAGGGCCCTGTCCCACCACCCTGGCTGCCCCCAAGCAGCCTCAGGGCCGCCCCACACATCATGATCCTCTGCAATATGCTCCAATATGCTCCCTCCACCATCCCCCTTTCCCCATCACTAACTTAATTCCTTAATTCCCACTGGAGATAAGACGATCTTCCACTGCAATTTATAGTTAATCCAAAAGAAAACAGGGGTGGGAAGGGGTGAGGGCTGGGTTAGAGGATGGGGGCGACGGTGGAGGGAGGTGTGAAGCCAGCCTGCCCACTCCGCCTCCTCTTAGATCTCTCACAGTCAACTGAGAATTGAGGCCAAAATCCCAGGCTGCTCCGTCTACTTCTGGTACACTGGGTTCAGTCTGGGGCAGTACTTCTGCTACTAGATCTCCAGACAAATTGTTCCCAAAGACAGCACCAAAGACGGCGAGGTGTGTGACGCTGGACCACCAAAGCACATGGGATCGGGGAGAAAGCCATGGCTTGAGGCCTCTCTGAGCAGATGATAAGGGTATCAGATGTGCCCCAGGCAATTTCAGGGGACAGCGGAGGAGCTGATGCATCAGGACACAGACCTTGATATAGTTGTATGGGGAATTCAGGGCTTCCAAGGAGAGTGGAGAGCTCCCTGTCCCTAGAGGGGTTCACCCTGAAGCTGGAAGCTCTAGCAACCGGTAGGGGCTTGGGTAAGGGGGTTCAGGATGTGAACGTGGTAGTACTTTATTTGATTTTGCCTCCAATGCTGAGACTCCAGGATTTTGACCCACCTGCTCTGCCCTCTCCGACGGGGCAGGAAAACTCCCTAAGTTGTGGTTCTGCTGGGAGGCTCTCTCTTGTCCTGGGACTGGTGGGGAAGCAGGGGCTCTCCTTGAAGGGTGAAGGAGAACCTGACCTATTTCATCTAGCCTTAAGTTCTAAACAGGGAAGATTCAGGAGATGAGCGCTGACATGGCCCTCCAGGCTGCAACACTCTGTCTACACAGCCTCCCAGGCATCTGTGTTGTGGGCATTCTTGCCTAAGGGAGAATTCACCTGAGGTGTCATATGCTGTATGTGAGGGCAGAGGGCAGAGGCTGATGCCATCCTCTGCTGGCCAGGACATTATGTTTGCTGCAGTGTCCTTGGCTGCCATCTCCAAGGGAATGTAGGAATGCACCTGCCCACCAAGCTTGCACAATGGTGGCCAGGAGTGCGTGGAAGACTCAGAATCTTGAGCCTCTCTCATTTAATCCTGGCTTCCAACTTCTTAAGAAAGGAGACCAAATGGCCCCAAAGAGGCACCAGGTGACTCCCTGAGGTGGTGGCGGGGAAGGCACGTCTCTGTCCCTAGTCTGGAGTAGGGGATATCTTGACCATATGATAGGTTACTGCTGCTAGAAGGGACCCCCTCCTTTGGAGACTGAATTTTCCTTCTCTAAGCTCAGGGTCCACAGGTGAAGAGCTAATGATGGCCCATGGTATGGCATCAGGCTCTCTCTCAGCTTTCAGTTGCTTCCTCTTTCAAAGCCTCCACCCAAACCTAACAGTTAAGGGAACCTACGTTTACAGGTCATATGGCATCGATCCACAGGCCAGCACAGGTCACTCGTAAAATCTTACGACCAAAATAACTTGTGGGTTCAATCTTGAGAAGAAAAATAGTGAAACATGTTGTTACTGATCACACACACACAAAAAAAAATTTGCAAGTGACCTCCGAGTGTCTCTACATGGCACTGGGGGCAGAGCAGATATTGGTTAGGGGAGGCAGCAGTAGTCAGGGGCTACCTCTCACCTTCCAGGACCCAGACTCTGAGCCAGCATCAGCAGCTTGGTGAGAGCCCCCGCTCCATGAAGATGTTAAGCAGCTAATCAGGATCAGACACATACACACATCGCATGTGACCTCACGTGTGCACACATACACAATCATAAACCTCCCTAGTACACACACAGGAGACACAAAAGCCCTCATGAAGAACACACATAAACCACACAGATTATTACCACAGCACAAACCGTGTCCACAGTGCTGAGGGGGATGGGGTAATGGAGTGATAGGGCGTGGACACCGTAAGAAGCTCTGCCTGGGAATGATGCTTCCGTGCAGGGCTTGGGGCGGGGTGGATATGGAGAATTCCCAGCTATCCCTGCGGCAGCAGCGCTATGAGGTGGGCGCCAAGGATTGTCACTGCATCCCCTCCTTTATCACCCCTGCTTCTCTTCAGTGCAAGACCCAGGCCCATTATCTGCCTCCTGGGAGGGCTGGGAAGGGTGCTGTGGCAGGGCCAGAGGAGGGAGCAGGGGAGTAGGGTCTGTAGCCTAAGTTCCCCTAAAGGCCCATCCATCAAGTCGTCGGAGATAATCAGTGCTCAGCTGGTTCAGGACACTGATGACTCTCTGGGCACCACAGACACAAAGAATAAATTTAGGAAGGGGCTGTGTAGGAGGTATCTGGGTAGCAGGGCTGCTGTCTTGCCTGGGAAGGGAGAGAAGGCCCATCCATCATTCTGAGAGATGCAGCAATCTAGGCCAATGAGATGGCAACGCTTCAGGGCGGGGGTGGTGGGCAGTAATAATAAAATCATCTCGTGCACGGTGTGGCTGCTCCGTCAGTATCTTATTTACACTTGGGAGATGCCTGCCCCTGCCTGTGCTCCAACCGAGAACCCCAGAGAAGATGTACAATATAGCCACCATAGTTGCAAACCCTCCTGGGTAGGGGGCCCCTTTGTGATCTCACTGGACAATTCCCGAGTTTGGGGAGGATCCAAGCAGATCCTAAGTCTGCTTCTTCTAGGGGCTTTCAAATAGATTCCAGTCTGGGATGACTCCAGCTGGTGTTTGGGCCACAGGGGCCGCATTGTGATTCAAGCTAGTGGAGCATGGACAATCTGAGAGGGTCTGGGAGGAATTTCTCTTTGGCTTCGGAACCGATCAGATGACTGTGCTTCGGCCCAGCTAACTTCCCAATTAAGCCAGTGGAGCCGTGAGGCCAGAGTCCACGGGGTGACCTGTAGGGTCATGAGGGCCCAGGAAAAAGCTCTAGCTCTGGGTGACCCTGAGAGGGCAATGTGTTCACGCTCTGTGCAGAGGCCATTGTTAGTCCCGAGCCACAACCTGGGTTTTTCACTCCCAGGATTGTCTCTGCTGGGCTTCTTCTCCAATTCTTTACCCTGCTGTCCCCTACTGCATGGCTGAGGATCCCAGGCCATGAGGGATGCACTGCCCCCACTCCAGCTCCTGGTCCCCAGCTTCCCTGGGGCAGAGGAAGCACTGGTCCTTTCATCCCAAGAGATCAAAGCTTCCTACACAGGTGAACACCCTAAATCCGCCCCTGCAGAGGCCCCTCCCTTTCCATCTTTCGGGATCCCTAGGAGGCAGCAAAGCACATAACCTTCCAGAAGCCTAAGGTGAGCTCAGGGCCCACCTAGGATACCTTGATACCTGTTGTGAAGTTCACAGAGAGAAGTCACCGCCCTGCTTCTTGTGTCTGCATGGAGCATGGTGGGAGGCTCCCACAATGGCGCTGGTAATGTGTAGACTCAGGAAGGAAAGAAGGATAACATGGTATCTATTCTGTTCCAGCACAGCTCAAGGACACTCCTGAGGTCCAGGAGGGGCAGGGACATGAGAAGGGACAGGATGATCCAGGATCATATTGATTGCGCTTCTAAAACTAACATAGCTAAAGGACACCACATAGCTCCAGGACTCTTGAAGACGCAATGCTCCCAGGCCACGCAACCACAGAACCGGGCTATATGTGATCCTCAAAGGGACACAGATGTAAGCAGTAGCACTATGCACAGGAGTTGAACCACTCTTAACGTACTGTCTTGCAAAGACTCCAGGCTTAGCAAACAGG